TAATCACCGTTATATTCCTACTTTTCTCTCTCTCTCTCTCTCTTTTTTTTTTTATAGCCCCAACCCTCCTACCTTTCTCTTGAGTTTTTGTTTCCATTATCAAGTTAAAAAAATTGTCTGAGTATATTCCTTTAAAAAATTATCCAACTCTTGTTTTATGGATCTTTTTTGAAAATTAATTTTTTTTACTTTTTTTTAAATTGCATTTTAGGTTTGGGGGTACCTGTGAAGAACATGCAAGATTGTTGCATAGGTACACACATGGCAGTGTGATTTGCTGCCTTCCTCCCCATCACCTGTACTGGCATTTCTCCCCATGCTATCTCTCCCCAACTCCCCACCCCTGGCTGTCCCTCCCCTGTTTCCCCCCGACAGACCCCAGTGTGTGATGCTCCCTTCCATGTGTCCATGTGTTCTCATTGTTCAACACCCACCTGAGTGAGAACATCTGGTGTTTGATTTTCTGTTCTTGTGTCAGTTTGCTAAGAATGATGATTTCCAGGTTCATCCATGTCCCTACAAAGGACATGGACTCATCGTTTGGAAGCTGGATATTTAACTAATGTATTGTAGAAGTAACTTTTTCACAACATTTAATGTAATCAAACATACTTAGTATAAATTTTAAATTATTTGAAGAAATTCAGAAATACTGAATTGGATTTTAGGATGGATTTTCCTATTTTTTCCAAAAAACAAAAATAATAAACAAACCAAAAAAAAAAAACCCCAAAAACAAACAAAAAAAGATAATGACAGAACGACCTTTGGCATTTGGATAGGGACTGTATTGAACCTGTAGATGGTTTTTGGTAGTACTGTCACCTTAACAATATTAAATCTTTCAATCTGTGAACATGAGATGTCTCCATATGTTTATGGTTCTCTTGGACACAGATGAAGAGAGATTTCAGACCCAACACTATAACCAGCTAGTGCTTGTCTACAATAGTTTTCAGCTAGAATGACAACTATTTGCATGCAGTAGATTAACTCCAGGAGGAATTGGAGAGTGGAATTGTGTTTTTTTCCAGGCCCCACATTTGCAAGTCTCTCCAATGTATTGGTCTATTCTTGTAGGTTCACTTTTCTGAATCCAGCTGAACTGCCTAGATCCTTTGTCTAGCCCTGCTAACCTCAGGCATACATATGCCCTCTCTAAAGACAGACAACAGGTGCAGAAAGGCGTTTTCTGAACAGGCAGTATGGAATCATGGATAATTATCCGCTGAAGAATTTGCTTTCTGCATAAACCAAATTAGAATTAGCCAAAGTGATAACATACTTTCTGCTTTATGGATACATAAAGAGTGACCCATTGCAATCTATCAGTCAGTGATAATAAGGGTTCATACTTTTAGGAAATGGAGGTTGCCAGGAGCAAGACCTAATTTATAGCTCACTTCACACTCATGAGCTACTGAAGATGTTCTCAAGCTCCTATAGGAATCACCTTGTCTGGGTCCCACAAAAGGCAATATCCTTTTCCTCATGTCCATTTTATTCACTCCTTTGCTTCATTGTTTTCAGTATGCTTGTCGTGTCAGAGAGCCTATAGGTTTTGTCTGCACATCAACACTATTGTTCAAGGTTGGTATATTCTAGAAATTTGGTGGGCGTCCATATAGAAAATTAGTTTTTCAATTCTATTAGAAATGTCAGAAACTTGAATGTGTAGGAATTAGACCAGTTCAATGCTGACAACATTTCTCCAACCATTAGAATGCCAGACAAGTTAGTTAAACCGTTAGGCACAGACAAGTAACAGAATTTGTAAGGAGCAGCCTGATGGAACTTTAAAGTCCAGGTACATTTCATGAGTACTGTCTTCAGTTCTGCCTACTTAACTAAGCTCCTTCATCTTTCTGTTTAAATCTATACCAACAGACTGTGTTCTATGTGTTTGCCATCCTTATGCATTTGGATGTGAGGGTGGTGGAGCCATCCATAAATCATATAGCAGCTTTAAGGTCCTAGAAGCACTTCATAAGAGGTGAGGTTCCAGGATACCAGCGATTTCTTGTATGGAGAGATAAACCTCATGCATCATTTCAATGTCACTCTCACTTTCCCGTATAACTTTAGGGGTTTTCAGGTCGCATGTGACCTAATTCAGGTTAGGTGTCTTGGGTTATGGAAAGACTCAGTGGAATTTGTTTGCCATTCTAGCAGCACCTAGCAACAGAAATGGAAAGTTTGTATACACTAGGGCAGATTCAGGGAGACTGTACCTTTATGCCATGTTAAAGACCTGTTAAAACACCATACCACCTCATCCTCAAAGAATGACACCTGAAGAATCATATCTAAACCTGGTTGATAAGGGTCCAAAGGACTAGAAGACATTATTCCAGGCAGAGTTCTAATGATGTTCCTCCAAAATTCCTGTTCCCTAGTTATTCAAACACTAAACAAGGTATTCCTGTGAGGGAACTTTGCGAATGTAATTAAGGTTGATAATTAGGAGACATTAAGATAGGGAGATTATCTTGAGTAAATGCTATAATTCTAAGGTAACCACTAAAAGAAAAATTTAAAAACTACATAGCTGTCACATCAATAAAGTAGGAAAATAAAATCATAATGATAATCCAAAAGAAGGCAAGAAATGAGAGAAAAGGACACGGCAAATGAAAAGTTAATATATTACAATCCACTGTATCAATTATTCCTTAATATTAAATTGACTAAGTGGTTCACTTAATATATAGTGATTATCAATAGAATAGGAAACATATAAAGTCAATTACATACTTATTCTTTAAAATTGGTGAGATATTACAAAACTTAGTTCATTTTGTAAATATTCCATGGGTGGTTGGGAAGAATGTGTGTTCTCTATAGTTGATCTAGAATTGTACAAATGTTTATTAGACCATGTTTATTTGAGTCATCCAATTCTCATATATTTTTGTTAAATTTTGCCTGCTCGATCTATCAATAATATAAGAGATGTGTTTCAATATCCAACTCTGATGATACTTTTGCCAGTTTTCCCCTATATTCTTATCAATTTTTGTTGAAATATTTTAAAGATATTTAGTTCCATAAATACATGTTAGAATGTTTCAGACTGAGAACATTATCATTTTGACATTGCCCCTCTCCATTCTTCTCATCATAGTCATATTTTCTAAAAATATGCTTCTAGGTTATTAGATACATATGTTCTCATTAATTGATTTGGTAATTTTCCTCATATATAAACAAACTCTGGAAAGATATTTGATTGTTATTACTGTGACATCATTTAATAGAATCTTCTGTTTTCCCCATTATGTGTTTACTGCTATGAAATGCCTTTCTGATATGTAGCTTTACATTAACCTTTGCAAATATTGAAGACAAATTTAAAACTCCTGTTTTCACATTTGAATATTTCGAATTTTTCAGTTAACAGTTTAATAATAATAACCAATTGATTTCATGTATTCAGTATGGCTATGAATGTTGATTTGATTCATGTTCCTTGGTAGGCAATCTGTTATTTTCCTTTGGAAGATTCTAGAATTTTCTCTTTGCTGTCATTTTAAATTTCAGGTGTGTGTGTGTGTGTGTGTGTGTGTGTGTGTGTGTTTCCTCTTCAATGCCCAGTTTGTGATCATTGTTTTACTTTTTAAATGTACAGAAACTTTTTCCACTATTTCTTTAAATATTTCCTCCTATTTTGATTTTTTGCTTTTTTGGGAAATGCTATTCTCTAGATACTGACAGTTCTATATCGAATTTCCATATAAGTTAATTTTATTTTTGCATTCCTACTTTTTTCCTTGTTTTTTTTTTTTCTGTGAAAGTTTGCCAATCTGATATTCAAAATTTCTGCTTCATTAAGCAATTGTATCCATTCTACTATTCATTCCATGTCTTGTGACTTTATTTCTTGGTCTCTTGGTTCTTTTTTTAAAGATTGTTACTGTTTTTCTGTTGATAACTTCTCTTAGATTTGCATTCAAGTAATTTCAAATCATATTTAGAAACATGTTTTCAGCATTTTTACTGAAAACTTACAGTTAATGTGGGAATGTGACTGTATTTGTGTATTTAGTATGATGTGTCCTAGGACTTGCGAAGGAAAGAGTGCCTACGGACCCCAATAAATCAAACTGGTTCTGCTTCTACTAGAGGCAGAATTTTAAAATTTCTGAATAAAGAAGTAAAAGCTAGGAACTGCAGGATTACACAGAATGTAGCAGTAATAGCTTGGGACATTAGAGAAGATTTGGTGGAAATCTGTTTAAGCAGGGATTGTATGGGCCGTTCTGCATTCAACAGCTGTTCTATAATGGTGTCTTCAATCACGAAATGTTAAAAGTCACAGAGTTTGCAATCATGAAATGTTAAAAGTCACAGCGTTTGCAACATTTTCTGCAAACATGCATTTTGCCTGGTTCTAGCTAAACTGTTGGCATGATATTTAAACGTAATGGGAAGAAATTTGATTGCTGTCAGTAACCACAATATTTTTATATTTGTTTCTTTCCTCACTGTAACTAGAATTTAAAAAACGATGGTCTAACAACATGGTGAAACCACATCTCTACTAAAAATACAAAAATTAGCTGGGCCTGGTGGCGCTCGCCTGTAATCCCAGCTACTTAGGAGGCTGAGGCAGGAGAATCGTTTGAACCGGGAGGCGGAGGTTGCAGTGAGCCCAGATCACGCCATAGCACTCCAGCCTGAGTGACAGAGTGAGACTCCATCTCAAACAACAACAAAAAAACAAAGGGTTGGTCTAAGTAAGATATAAACAAAAGCCTCACCTGAGAATTCACAATTAGGAAGCCTTTCTTCTTTAACAATAAACTGACTGGCTGAGAGGCTCTTCTTGAGTGTCAGCTGCGCCCCTGCAGCTTACAATCACCTTTGGCTTGGTCCTTCTCCCCCGTGTGCTTTTCCTCTCCGCAGCCTCCTCACGTGCGCTCAGCCCAGCGCGAGCGGCGCCTCTCCAGATCTCAACGTCTTAACTGCCGTTCATCGTCAGGGCTCCAAGACAGCGAGCCATGTTCCTTCTTCTGCTGCTTCTTACTGGACTTGGTGGGATGCACGCAGCCCTCAGTAAGTCCAGGAATCCAGGCTTCCGAGGGAGACCTTGTTCACTCTACCCATGGTCCAGTTCCAGCCCAGACTTGACCCTGGCTCCACCCTCTCCCACCTTCTCCTGGCCCCGTGCTTCAAGGTCAATGGCCAAAAAGGCAGCCTCCGACAGAAAATCATTTTCCTTCTCTGGGATGGCTTCCTTATCCATAAAATGAACAGAAATGAAATATGTGATTTTTTCCACATACAAAATTCTGCTACATTGGGAATAATTGCATCACAGTAAAAAAGCTGTTTATCAAGGGTTTACTGATTTGGCAACTGCTATTCTCTACCTGCCCCATTGAAATGTGCAGATAATCCTTGTTTTCAATATTCTACATTCTTCCCTGAAAATGATCTCACTTTCTTGATGCATCTGTGTTTTCTCATTTCCACACCTTTTTACAACACTGAATTTTGTGTTTAGCATTAACTTAGGCTGTGCCAGTGCCAAACTCTGTGTGTGTGTGTGTGTGTGTGTGTGTGTGTGTGTGTGTGTGTTGAGAGAGAGGTGTGCAGGGGAGAATGAATAAAAATTTGAAATCTTGACAAGGGGTGAGAAATTTGCAGGTAAGAATAACTAGAAAGAAGTGGAAAGGGCGAAATGTGTAGATTATTTTAAAAATAGCTGCTAATGTAGAGAAACAAATGCAGAATTAGAGTTAGAAATGAATAACAAGATTGTAGGTATCAAAATAACACCATTTATATTTATTTTTAGATGCTCATAAAATCTTCCTGCAGACCACAGTTCCAGAGAAGATTTCATCATTGGATACAAAAACAGATCCAGAACATAATGTAATTTTAATAATATTTTACGTGTGACATGTTAAGTTACCTTTAATGTCAAGACTGAAGGCACTGAATTGCATTGCTTGGAGGCAGAGCTGACAGCTGAGAACACCAAGAAGGGGCATTTTGATGTGTATGAATGTGTGAGACTGTGTACACACACAGTTGATGTGTGTACATCACTTCTGTTGATGATGAAGGATTTTAGGGGTAACATCCCTTGGGCCCTCTGTTGCTGATGAAGGATTTTAGGGGTAAGATCTGGGGCCAAAACGCTAGTGTAGAATCCTCCAAGTTTGAAATTTAAGGAGGTGGCAGAAAACCTGGATCCTCCAAGACCAGGATTAGGGTGGGGAAAGTGAGGTGAGTCATGTACCTAAAGGATCAGAATCCTTCCTGTCTTGAAAATTTTGGTATTTTTTTCATCATGGTGTGTTTTTGCATTTTGATTTTTAAAAATGTTGCATTAAGATATTATCTATCTTGATAACTGAGTTTTCTGGTATCCTAGTTCTATCTCTGGTGATCCCCTAGTGATTAGTCTTAGCTTTTACTAAATCAGTGAGGATCTGAATGGTGATGATCTTTGGGCAGGCTTATCTGTTAATGAGCACATTAATTTCACAGTCCAAACTTGGATGGTAGTGAATGTTCCTTCTCTAATAATACGCAGGAGAATACTTCTCACATGGCTTCTTTCAGTATAGGATGATCCATTGTTATTAATAATTATGGGCCTCCAAATTTATTTATTTTTTTACATTTAATGGTTTCAGAAACTTTTCCTCTCTGTTTCACATAAGGATATACAATTTATATTGTTTCCCCTTCCCCATGTACCCTTTCTTTGCCTTTTCTTCCTCTAGTAGCTGAGTTTTGTTTACCAACATGCTTACCATGAAGCTTTGAACACCCCTCCACGCTGACTTCCAAGTGAATAACTAGCTATGCTGTGGTGAATGAGCCCTTTGACAGGTCCCTTTTCTGATTGGAAAGAAATCTTTGTTTAATTTCCTTTTTCCTGAGATTAACAATACCAATTCTCCCTTTCCATTGTTGTCACCCACAGTCTTTGAATTCCTCACTTGTCCAATTTCTAGGATTTTTAAAAAGGCATTTGTAATATGGAAATTCAGTGTGATTCTTTTAACTGTAATGATTTTAAAAGCTATATTGTAATATATTTTAGCAACAGAAAATTATAATTATTGTGGGATGCGATTTTATTTGAATATGTTTGCTATCATATGGGATAGGACCTGCAAAAGTAAAAGTGCCCAAGGATGTACAGTTATAAGATTTAGTAAATAAAAATATAGAACACCCAGTTAAATGCTTGTGTACATAAAGATAAAAGAGAAATATTTCATAAGGCTTATTTATACTAAAATTATTTGTCGTTCACCAGAAATAAATTATAAGCATCAAAATTACATACCTCCTTCTTAAATTATAGTATCTTGATGATTTGACTTCCCTGACAGTTCCCTGTTAAGTAGAATTTGCTTGTAAAATTACTTGCAATTATAGTCTTTTTCATTTAGATCATAACATAATTCCTACAGTGGTCACACCCAATATATTTTATTCTTTTTTTTCTAGTGAACATTTCCAGTAGTTTTACAGTTTTTGCTTTTTACATTTTGGTGTGTGGTCCATTTTGAATCCTTTTGTGAAGGATTTAAAGTCTGTGTCTAGATTCATTTTTTCTACGTGGTAATACTGTTGTTGTTCTAGTACAATTTTTTGAAAAGCCTGTCTTTTAAAAAGATTGCTTTGCCTCTGCTTCTTTTACAAAGGTCCATCGACCATATTTATGTGGATCTATTTCTGGGATCTCTACTTCCTTGACTATAATTTTGCAAACACCACACTGTTTTTAGGACTGTAAATATGTAGTAAGTCTTTTTTTTTTTTTTTTTTTTTTTTTTTCTTTCTTTCTTTCTTTCTTTCTTTCTTTCTTTCTTTTGTTTTTTTTTTGAGACAGAGTCTCACTCTGTTGCCCAGGCTGGAGTGCAGTGGCACAATCTTGGCTTACTGCAACCTCTGCCTCCCAGGTTCAAGTGATTCTCCTGCCTCAGCCTCCCGAGTAGCTGGGATTACAGGTGCCTGCCATATGCTCAGCTAATTTTTGTGTTTTTAGTAGAGACTGGGTTTGACCATGTTGGCCAGGCTGGTCTCAAATTCCTGGCCTCAGGTGATCCACTCACCTTGGCCTCCCAAAGTGATGGGATTACAGGTGTGAGTCACTATGCCCAGCCTTATAGTAAGTCTTGAAGTTGAGTAGTGTCAAGTCTCCAACTTTGTTTTTCACCTTCAACGTGATATAGGATATTTTGGATCTTCTGGCTCTCCCTATAAACTTGAGAATCAGTTTGTTGATATCTATAAAAAAACTGATATTTTTACTGGGATTCCATTGATCTATAGATGAAGTTGGAAAGAACTGGTATCTTGACAATATTGATTCTTCCTATCTATAAACATGGAATATCCCTCCATTTATTTAATTCTTTTTGAGTTTTTGCATTAGTTTTCATCATAAATGCATATTTTGTTATATTTATACCTAAGCATTTCATTTTTCAGGACAGAAATATAAATGATATTGTGTGTTTAATTTATTTGTTTATTGTTGATATAAAGGAAAGAGAATGAGTTTTTAATATTAACTTTGTATCCTGCAACCTTGCCATAATTATTTGTACCAGGGTTTCTTTTTGGTAATTCCTTGAGATTTTCTTTTTTTTTTTTTTTCTTTAATTTTTATTTATTTATTTTTTTCGAGACAGGGTCTCCCTCTGTTGCCCAGGATGGAGTGCAGTGGTGTGATCCTGGCTCACTGCAACCCTCTGCCTTCTGATTTTCTTTTTCTTTTTCTTTTCTTTCTTTCTTTCTTTTTTTTTAAATACATATATCTATATATATTATTGCACTTTAGGTTCTGGGGTACATGTGCAGAACATGCAGGATTGTTGCATAGGTACATACATGGCAATGCTGTTTGCTGCCTCCATACCCCTGTCACCTACATCTGGCATTTCTTCCCATGTTATCCCTCCCCAATTTCCTACCCTCTGCTGTACTGCCCCTAGTCCTCCCGAACAGACCCCAGTGTGTTATGATCCCCTCCCTGTGTCCATGTGTTCTCATTGTTCAACACCTGCCCATGAGTGAGAACATGTGGTGTTTGCTTTTCTGTTCTTGTGTCAGTTTGCTGAGAATAATAGTTTCGAGATTCATGCATGTCCCTACAAAGGACACAAACTCATGTTTTATGTCTGCATAGTATTTATGGTGTATATATGCCACAATGTCCTTGTCCAGTCTGCCATCGATGGGCATTTGGTTTGGTTCCAGGTCTTTGCTATTGTAAACAGTGCCACAATGAACATATGTGTGCATATGTCTTTATAATAGAATGATTTATAATCCTTTGGATATATATCCAGTAATGGGATTGCTGGGTCAAATGGAATTTCTATTTCTAGGTCCTAGAAGAATTGCCACACTGTCTTCCACAATGGTTGAACTAATTTACACTCCCACCAACAATGTAAAAGTGTTCCTATTTCTCCACATCCTCTCCAGTATCTGTTGTCTCCAGATTTTTTAATGATCGCCGTTCTAATTGGTGTGAGATGGTATGTCGATGTGGTTTTGATTTGTATTTCTCTAATAACCAGTGATGATGAGCATTTTTTCATATGTTTGTTGGCCTCGTAAGTGTCTTCTTTTGAAAAATGTCTGTTCATAATGCTTCACCCATTTTGAATGGGTTTGTTTGTTTTTTCTTGTAAATCTGTTTTAGTTATTTGTAGATTCTGGATATTAACCCTTTTTCAGATGAATAGATTGCAAAATTTTTTTCCTATTCGGTTGGTTGCTGGTTTACTCTAATGATTTTTGTTTGTTTGTTTGTTTTGCTATGCAGAAACTCTGGAGTTTAATTAGATCCCATTTGTGTATTTTGGCTTTTGTTGCCAATGCTTTTGGTGTTTTAGTCATGGAGTCCTTGCCTGTGCCTATGTCCTGAATGGTTTTGCCTAGGTTTTCTTCCAGGATTTTTATGGTGTTATGTCTCATGTTTAAGTCTTTAATCCTTCTGGAGTTAATTTTAGTATAAGGTGTCAGGAAGGGGTCCAGTTTCTGCTTTCTACACATGGCTAGCCAGTTTTCCCAACACCATTTATTAGACGGAATCCTTTCCCAGTTGCTTGTTTTTGTCAGGTTTACCAAAGATCAGATGGGTGTAGATATGTGGCTTTGCCACCAAGGCCTCTGTTCTGTTCCATTGATCTTTATCTCTGTTTTGTAACAGTACCATGCTGTTTTGATTACTGTAGCCTTGTAGGGTAGTTTGAAGTCAGGTAGCATGATGCCTCCAGCTTTGTTCTTTTTGCTTAGGATTGACTTCTCTATGTGGGCTCTCTTTTGGTCCATATGATGTTCAAAGTGGTTTTCTCCAGTTCTGTGAAGATGGTCACAGGTAGCTTGCTGGGGATAGCATTAAATCTTTAAATTACTTTGGACAGTGTGGCCATTTTCACAATAGAGATTCTTCCTAACCATGAGCATGGAATATTTTTCCATCTGTTTGTGTCTTCTCTCATTTCCTTGAGCTGTGGTTTGTAGTTCTCCTTCAAGAGGTCCTTTACATCTTTTGCTAGTCGTATTCCTAGGTATTTTATTCTCTTTGTAGCAATTGTGAATGGCAGTTAATTCTTGATTTGGCTCTCTTTAAGTCTGTTATTGGTGTATAGGAATGCTTGTGATTTCTGCACATTGATTTTGTATCCTGAGACTTTGCTGAAGCTGCTTATCAGTTTCAGGAGCTTTTGGGCTGAAACGATGGGGTCTTCTAAATATACAATCATGTCATCTGCAAATAGAGACAATTTGTCTTCCTCTTTTCCTAATCGAATACCCCTTATTTCTTTTTCTTGCCTGATTGCTCTGGCTAGAACTTCCAATACTATGTTGAATAGGAGTGGTGAGAGGGGGCA